ATTCAAATATTGTGACAAAATTAATTTTGTAGGGTGCCACAAGTTTGTTAAAATTTCCAAAGGGTGCCGCGACTGAACAAAGGTTGGGAAACACTGTTCTAAACGACGCATGAAAGTACTGATGGGTCGTTCTTGAACGATTCGTTCATTTTAAACGAATCTTTACTGTGACTCGGGAAGAACGAGTCGTATCGGGGAGTGATTCGTTCGGTCGCGCATGCGCAACATCCTATAGGTTCTGTACTGGAATTAGTCAAGTAAGGTAAACAATTAATTAATATTTTCTGTTTCTTATAGCAGTTTTGTATTGTTTGTAGTGTGATCAAATTAGTAGACATATTAGGGAAGTAACACGAAACATTTTAATTATATTTTGTTAAAATTAACGAAATGACTCGAAAAAAAATTCGTTCATTTTGCTAAACGAGACTCAAAGGTCCGAGTCGATAAAATGATCCGAACTTCCCATCACTACATGAAAGATGATTTAGAGGCGAAGCTTTAATGCTTGCTTACAGGACCTAGTTGAAACCACAATCATGGGCGGTACTAAACGTCATCCAAATCTAGGTCTTCCAGATGCTTGAATCCGGGAATTTAAGAAGTGTATTAAAAAAAAAAAAAGCTACTTCTTAACACGAATTCGAGCATATCCAGTTCCGTTAGCAGAACCGAACAAACATTTTGACAGCTTTTAGATTAATTGTCGAATAATCTAGAAAGCTTCAGCCTTTTCGCCCCTCGCTCAGGAATATATATACGGCCACATGAAAAAAAATGAAGCATATACACAAGTGTTCAAGCTTATTCAAAGGCTTTTTTTTATTTGTAGTAAGGAATGTGATAAGATAGCAGAAGAGGAATGCTTAAGGACAGCTTCCACAGGCCAGGGGCTTCTCCAGCAGTGCCAGGCAAGATGTTCTCCATATAAAAGCAGTGAGTGTAGACTGAATACATACAGCCTGTACTTCTCTGCTAAACTATGAACTAGAGCTGGTTTCTTTGATTTTATTTTATAGCTGTAGAACATTTTCCCTCATTATACGCATTGCATATCGATTACATTGTTTTAGTACAGATTGACACGCAATTAAAGCCAAATTAAACTTTAACGGTCTAGACTCAAACACCCAAGTAAGTTAATAAACACTTTATACATTTACAGTAAACCAATGGAGAATAATAAGAATAAGACGAGCTACAACGCAACGCTTGTTTTAAGTCTACAGCTGCCATGCGCTCATTGGACGGCGTAGAGTCAGTTGTTTTTGATTGGTTATTGTCTGGGGCTTCAAAATGACAGTTGACCAATGAATGTGCGTCTCCTGTTTTCAAACAAGAGACGACAGTTTGTGGTTCCCGCCTACATGTCCTGCATTCGTTCACTTTTGTATGAAAACAATAGGCGAAGTCGGTCTTAAATTAACATACTGGTTAATATGTATAACAAATGTATAGCCTGAATGCACTGTATGTAAGACGCTTTGGATAAAAGCGTCTGCTAAATGCATAAATGATTACAACTGCAGTACTGCAGTACTGCAGAATTCAAATGCAATATGGCATGTTACTTTAGAATTGTTCAAGGACCACATTTTCACTAAACTTTAGAGAAGTCATTGAAGAGAATTACACGGAATTTCAAATAAGAGGTCACTTTTGGAAGAACTTGTTTTAAATAAAATAAACTTCAAACTGGGTTTATATCAAAGAATATGGTCTATACCAACTGAATGAAAAATCGCTCTCACGTGGAGAAAATGTGTGGCTCTTAAAAGAGCCTTTGGTTTGAAGAGAAACTTCTCTCGGTTTACTTGGTCTTGGCGGGTTTCTCGGTCTTCTTGGGCAGCAGCACGGCCTGAATGTTGGGCAGCACGCCGCCCTGAGCGATGGTCACGCCGCCAAAAAGCTTGTTCAGCTCCTCGTCGTTGCGCACCGCCAGCTGCAGGTGACGGGGGATGATACGAGACTTCTTGTTGTCCCGGGCGGCGTTTCCAGCCAACTCCAGGATCTCAGCGGTGAGATACTCGAGCACAGCGGCCAGATACACCGGAGCACCAGCACCGACGCGCTCGGCATAGTTGCCTTTACGGAGAAGCCTGTGAACACGACCGACGGGGAACTGCAGTCCAGCTCTGGAGGACCGAGTCTTGGCTTTAGCGCGAGCCTTTCCTCCAGTTTTGCCTCTTCCACTCATTGTGATAACAACCGCTACAACACAGCTCAAAGAAAGAATGATAATACGGAGAGCTGCGACGTTACTTTTAAAAGAAAGCGTGCCAGTCTCCTATTGGCTGGAGTCTGATTACGTTCCAAGCCAATCAGTGAACTTCCCTCCGAACTTCAAACCCCACCCTCTTCCTGCTGCTGCCAACCCTCAAGCACAACGTTAACCATGTTCACGAGCTTCTTTATTGTGTACCTGTATTTATTTTTCTATGTATTCCTTTATTTTTACGTATATACATTTTTGACTTTATGTAGAACACTTTCAATTACCTTTGTGTATTAAATGTGTTACATAAACCTGTCTAACCTATTATTTATTTCATTAGTTTTAAGCATAATGAAGTGATTCAAGTTAAATGTCTGACTTGTAGCATAATATTCACATTCACGTATCAATATCGTCAAAATGCTACATTACTTTAAACAGAAACAATGCTCTCACTTTGAATTAGTGGGTGGCTCTTAAAAGAGCGTTGGCTGCGGGCTTCTTGGCTTTAGGAGCGGCTTTCTTGGCGGGTTTTGTCTTGGTCTCAGCTTGTTTCTTGTTGAGTTTGAACGAGCCGGAGGCGCCGACTCCTTTGGTCTGGACCAATGTAGTCCTTGGCAGCGTGCCAATGTAGTCGGCTTCATTAACAAATGACTCTTATGAACCGGATCTTTTTGAGTCAAAACCACAAAGCACGGCCCAGTTCACTAACGAATTGTTTTTACATTTGTTCGTGAATCAGATAATTACTGCTCTTCAGGTAACTCAGAAGTCCTCTGAGAAATCTAATCTCGTCCGGATATGTCTGAGATTCATCGAGTAACTGTTTGGTGATCCAATTCTCCGACCGCTCGCTCCACTTTCATCATGGATATAAGCCGTGACAATAGCAGAGTTAGGTAAGAATCTAGTTGTAGTTTTCTCGATTGAGAATATAACTGATGCTTTTAGTTGGCACTATTTTCCCCAACCCATTAATTCAGTTTTCAAAACAAGGACACATTTTTCAAAAAGTTTAACAATGAGTAAGTTAAACATTAGGTAGCAAAACTGATG